AGACCTGTAGTCCCAGTGATTTTAGAGACTGAGGCAGGAGGATCGCTAGTTCAAAGCCAGTCTCAGCAAAAGTGAGGCATTAAGCAACTCAATGAGACCTTGTCTCAAAATGAAATGAAAAAATAGGGGTGGGGATGTAGCTCAGTGGTTGAGTATCCCTGAGTTCAATCCTTGTTACCTCCTCCCAAAAATTAAAACATTAAAAAAGGGCTGGGGATGTTAAGTTCAGTGGTAAAGGGTTAAATCTGGATTAAATCTCAGTACCAAAAAACAAACAAACAAACAACAACAAAACTACTTGAATTACATTTTCTCTGAGTATCCTTGATTTGTTTCGCTTTGTGGATTGGCCTTGGTCTCTCTACAGTAGGTCTTTTCCAGGCACCAAAGAATATGGCATCTACATCCCTGTTTAGCAATCTCAGAAGAGAGTGCTTCTTTCTCTAGAGACCGTAGAGCAATCCCAGAGAAATATTGGATTGGCTCTGGTAGGGCCACCCACCCCTCCTTATATCCAGAGGGGAATGTTCTGTAACTGTGCAAAGAGGATGGTAGAGCATGGTAGGCAGACAAAACAAAGTCCACTACAAGACCACTACAAGTTCTAAAGTCCACTACAAGTTATAAAGCTTTGTTTCCTTTATTGCCTTGGAGTGCTGCTTTGAAAGGTTAGTGTGAGGGAGGCCAGTCTCCACCTCTAGTAACAGTTCCTCCTTAGGCTCGTGGAGACAGAGACTAGCTCATCAAAGCACTTTTTAAAAAATATATATTTAGTTTTTAGTTTTAGGTGGACACAATATCTTTATTTTATTTTTATGTGGTGCTGGGGATTGAACCCAGTGCCTCATGCATGCTAGGTGAGCGCTCTACTTCTGAGCCACAACCCCAGCCCTCATCAAAGTACTTTAGACTAGTGTCCTATGACACTGTTTTTCCTATGTAAGGTCAAGTACACAGTTTGTATATGCACTGCTGTATTCCTAGAACTGAACACAATGTTTAGCACATCGTATTTCCTCCAAAATATTTGTTAAGTGAATTTTGAGGATTTGTAGCCCTTCTGATTCAAATGAATCTTGGCAATAATTGAGCATATCATAGATGCAAACAATGAAAAACAAAAGCAAAAACAAGCCCTTGTCCTTGAGGCACTCACAGTCCATCAGAGGAAGTAATTACTTATACCAATAATTTTATAAAATTTTGCACATAATAACTGAAGCGTGGAAAAAATAGTAGAAGGATGCTCAATAATTCTAAGGAAATAGAGTAAATTTCTAGGAGTTAAAATATTTTCAGACTTTTGATAATATTTAACCATATCCTTTTTTATTAAAATACTTTTTTTAGTTGTCAATAGACCTTTTACTTATTTATATGTGGTGCTGAGGATTGAACCCAATGCCTCACACATGCTAGGAGAACACTCTACCACTGAGCCACAACCTAGGCCCTTAACCATGTTCTTAAAAAATCAGCTATAATTGTCTCTCCTTATCTGTGGTTTGGCTTTCTGCAGTTTCAATTACGTATGGTCAAACATGGTTTGAAAATATCAAATGGAAAATTCCAGAAATAAACAATTCATAAATTTAAAATTGTGCACTGTACTGGATAGTGTGATAATGTTTCTTACCATCCTACTCCATCCCAATGGAGGCATGAATCATCCTATTGTCCTGGGTATCCACACTGTATAGGCTACCTTCCTGTTAGTAATATAATAGCTGTCTGTTGCCAGATGAACTGTCAAGGTATCACTGTACTTGTATATTTTATTTGGCAGTATCTGAGGTTTCAGGCATCTACTGGAGGTCTTGATAAAGGGGGACTACTGTATATACGAATAACAGAGAAGTATAAAACAGGAGTTACCCCAACTCAAATGGTGGCTGATGAAGCTGAGTCAATGGGTAACACAGGGTAAATGTGTGAAGCAAGTTCTTTCTTAAAGAACAATAAAGAGGGGCTGAGGATGTGGCTCAAGCGGTAGCGTGCTTGCCTGGCATGCGTGCGGTCCGGGTTTGATCCTCAGCACCACATACAAACAAAGATGTTGTGTCTGCCGAAAAACTAAAAAATAAATATTAAAAAAAATTCTCTCTCTTTAAAAAAAAAGAACAATAAAGAATGATGAGGACTGTGACAAGATGGAGATAAGAGCCTTGAATAAAGATTTATTTGACTGATTATGTCCAGTCAATTGTTAACATTTAGGAATAAACCATGTTGCCAAATTTTCTAGTGAAGCTGGACATACAGATTGGAGAGGAAGGAGCTAAAATTTCCAAATTTTAAGTGTTGGAAACATTATGTAAGGCAAATAAAAATGTCAAATAGGCCACATTTGGTTCAGAAATCACCAATTTACAATTTCTGGTCTAGAAATTCACCCCTTTTTGGTTCCTAGCACCTAGAATAAAGGTTGAATACAATAGAAATTCAGCACATATTTATTGATTAAATGAATGAATGGCCAGGCCTGGAGGCACATGCTTATAATCCCAGTGCTTGGGAGGCCAAGGCAGGAGGATCACAAGTTCAAAACCAGCCTCAGCAACTTAGGTGAGGTACTAAGCAACTTAGTAAGACTTTGTCTCAAAATAAAAAATAAAACCTAGGGCTGGGGTTGTGGCTCAGTGGTAGAGCACTTGCCTAGCATGTGTGAGGTATTGGGTTTGATTCTCAGCACCACATACAAATAAATTTTTTAAAAAAGGTCCATTAACAACTAAAAAATTTTTAAAAATTAAAAATAAACTGCTGAGGATGTAACTCAGTGCTTAAGAACCTCTGGGTTCAAACCCCAATACAAAAAAAAAAAAAAAAAGAATGACTTGGAAATCTTACCAAGTAGTAAAATTGTTCAGGATTTTATAAAATTATTTGGCTCTTTACATTTGTTAAGTGTCTCTATTTGGGATTTTCAGGTTGGACAGATGTTTATTCCACAAATATCTTTTGTCAAACTTCATTTAATTCTATGTACAAAATGCAAAAAGATCTTGAGAGAGCTGCGAATTTGTAACTCTGCTTTTTTCATAAAAGGGAGAGGGAATAAAACTGAGGCAAAGAAAGAGATTATTTAAATATTTAATTCCTTGCAAAAAGCCAGCATGAGTTCTCAAGATATATAAGTTAGCTTCCATCAATGGCTTTCTTTCTCTGTTTTTCAGCCCATAGGTATCTCCCTCCCAAGAGCATGGGGAACTGAAGCTCCAAACCCCAGTTCCTGTGTCTTGAAGAAAGAAAACTTAAAGTCAGACACGAAAAGTCAAGCAAGGGGGCTGTGGCTGGGGCTGTGGCTCAATGGCAGAGCACTTGCCTTGCACATGGGAGACACTGGGTTTGATCCTCAGCACCACATAAAAATAAATAAAATAAAGATATGGAAAAATAAAGATTTAAATCAAAAAGAAGAAGAAGAAGAAAGAAAGAGAGAAAGAAAGAAAGAAAGAAAAGTCAAGCAAGGGAATTTTATCATAAATGAAAGGCCTGAGCAAAGAATACTCTGAGCTGAGAACCAGTAAGGAAACCATGCTGCCTCCAAATTTATTGCTGTTTCATGCTAGCCTTGAGAGCCAGGGTTTCACCTTCCACAGTGTTTGTCAATCAGACTTGTAACTCCTCTTTCACATCCAGCAGGGGAGGCTTGGACCAACTGGGGTCTTCTCTGGAATTGTCATGGTGACCTTCCTATTCAGGGGGACTTCATACAAGTCAATTCTATATTAATGTGGGTGCTGGGGTCAATGACCAGGCAGACTTCATCTTCACAATCTTGCACCATTAATAAAATTTCCCTTCTGAAATACACTGAGAAACCCATGGCCATAAATCCTAATTTTTCAATGACCTCCTATTAGGTCCTTAGGCCAAATTAACTTCATTTTGAAAATCAGCATCTGCCCTCCTGCAAAGAGTCCCTAACTACCGAAAACACAGCAAAGACGCCAGGTAACACTCTCAGGACCAGAGGGGTTAATTTTTAACTACCCCATTGTACTTGACTAAATAGTTAAGAGGTTTTTTTTTTCCAGCAGGCTATTGAGCCTTGAAGAAGGGCAGCCTGGCAGATATTCTCTGTTGATAAACCTCTGCTTGAACTCAGCTGTCTCCCGTGGATATTTGCACCAGCTACACTAACCTCTGTGGACCCTGCCAGAAGTTAGCCCCATCGATCTATTTTTCTCCAGGTATTTCTTAATTGTTTCCCTTTATTTATGCGCAGGTTAGTACACCTGTTGTTGTTCTACAAGTTACTCCATTGTTCATTAAAGGCAATTTCAAAGAAACCTGTGACCCTGCTATATTGTTTTGCATTTCACTGCTCATTACTAACATCTGGATTCATAAACAAATGGGATTCAGACAACAAAAGCTGGGCACAAGTATATGCTTGTGTGTAGCCAAAGTAGAATTAATACATCCTTTTTTCTTTCAAGGGGCATAAAAACTATTAGGAATGGTAAATGATTAGTAATAATAATTCAGGTTGGAGAGAACCAAATGTCTTGAGAAGTGCAGATGAAGGGAAATTATGAAAACTGGGATTGAAAATATTGGCTGGAGTTGCTTTTGGAGGATTTTGAATGCCACATTATTAAGTTTGTAGTTTATTAGGCAAGGTTATTCTTTATGTTCTATTTCACGTAAGGACATATTATGTAACCTGACTTGGCTGGGTGCAAATGGCATTTGTGAAATACTGAAAAAAAAAACACGGTAGGCACGTGATCAGCCACTGAGCTATAGCCCCAGACCCAGCCCCAAGCCCAGCTAATTTCAATTGTTTCTAAACACATCCATTTCAAAATCGAACTTGAACTGCTTTCAAATTGAATGAACAAATGGGCAGCCTCTCAATCCTTTCAGTCTGGGACAATAAGCCCCAACTCTTCTTTACAATTCTTGTTTTCTGCCCATGTTGACCCGGAATCTGCTCTCCTTTGGCAACTGTTTCCGTAGGGAATCAGTCACCTGATGCACCATATTTGCCCCACCCTCACTGTACCACTGGATATCCTGATTGGTGATAGCCTTCCCCTGTGCTCTATGATTGGCCGACCGCATGCCGCTGAGAGCTAGGATGCCAGTTTCCTGAAATACGGGCTGGCGGGCGGAAGTGAAGGCCCGCTTGAGGTATGCCGTGAGGCGCCGGCTGGGTGCTGCGCGTGGCGGGTCTCCGAGACTTAGTCTCGGAGGGCCGCCATGGCCAGCGTCCACGAGAGCCTCTATTTCAATCCAATGATGACCAATGGAGTGGTGCACGCCAACGTGTTCGGCATCAAGGACTGGGTGACGCCATATAAGATCGCGGTACTGGTGCTGCTGAACGAGATGGGCCGCACGGGCGAGGGCGCGGTCAGCCTCCTGGAGCGGCGGAAGCTCAACCAGCTACTCCTGCCGCTGCTGCAGGTGAGGGGCGCCCACTAGCTCCTGCTCATTTAGCAAACTTAGTGTACATCTGCTCTGTGCAGGACACTGCCCTTGTTCTGGGGACACGGGGTTCATCAAGTACTCTTTCTGCCTTAGAGGAACGTGAAAAAATAAAGGTAGTAAATCCCGCCAACTAACACTTGATGAGCGTTTAGCAGGGGCTAGGCGCCTTACGCGCATTATTTTGCAGGTTCTCGTCTGGCCATCAGTATTATCTGAGTGACGGGGGGGAGAGGTATCATCTTAGATCTTCTGTAAAGTGGAGCTACACAGTCCTGAGCTTTGCAGAGACGGAGATGAATCATACAGGCTGAGTTACCTTAGGGGACCATAATAAGTAGTAATAACGACATAAAACTAGTGACGAGCAAAGACTGAACATTTATTGTGTGTTCAGCACTTCACATACCCTATTTCGTTTTCCAGATTCACGCCACGGAGCTCCACAACTTAACTAGCTGTCACTTGAGCAAGTTCCTTAACGCTTTCAGTTTTATATCAGTTGTGGTTTTTTTTTTTTTTTTTTTTTTTTTTTTGTGGTGCATGCGAGGCAAGCACTCTACCAACTGAGCTATATCCCAGCCCCTCAATTGTAGTTTTTTCCATGTATTTGTGTGTTTATGTGATTGATGTCTGTTTCCTCACTAGATTGTATCCGAACACAATACTTGCCCTGTTTTATCCACCCTTGCATTCTCCAAAGCCTTGTAAAGTGCCTGAGAAGTTATTCCTGGAAGGAATGAAATGTGATTCCCCCCTCCTTTTTTTTTTTTTTTTTGTACCAGGGATTGAACCAAGAGATGCTTAACCACTGATCCATATCCTGAACCCTTTTTGAAATTTTATTTTGAGAAAGGATCACACTAAATTGCTGCAGGCTGGGGCTGGGGATGTGGCTCAAGTGGTAGCGCGCTCGCCTGGCATGCGTGCGGCCCGGGTTGGATCCTCAGCACCACATGCAAACAAAGATGTTGTGTCCACCGAAAACTAACTAACTAACTAACTAACTAAATAAATAAATATTAAAAAAAAAAATGCTGCGGGCCTTGTTGCTGAGGCTGGCCTCAAACTTGCTATCCTCTTTACATAGACTCCTGAGTCCTGGGATTACAGGTGTGCACCACCACACCCAGCCTGATTTACTTTTTTTTTTTTTTTTGCTTTTGGTACTGAGGATTGAACCCAGGGGTGCTTAATCACTGAGCCACAACCCCAGCCCTTTTTAATTTTATTTAGAGACAGGGTCTCTCTGAGTTGCTAAGTGCCTTACTAAGTTGCTGCGGCTGACTTTGAACTAACAATCCTGTCTCAGCCTTCAAAGCTGCTGGGATTACAGATATGCACCACTGCACCCAGTTTGATTTGCCCTTTTTTAGAGAAGATGGAATGTTAAGCTCATGGACCTTGAAGTACGAGCAATTGTTTGTTGAGGAATAGTGGTGACAGAAACAGATCTGCGCCTGGGCCTCTAAATGATGAGATCTTAAGTGATAAACTTAACAAAATTATACTGAATTGCATTTTTGCCACATAGTATACTTTATAAGGGGTTCGAAAATCCATCACAGCTGGGCATGGTGTTGCTGGTCTGTAATCCTAGCTATTAAGGCAGGAGGATCATGAGTTTGAGGCCAATTTAGTGAGACCCTGTCTCAAAAAATAATAATAAAAGAAGGGTTGAGGCTAGCTCAGTGATAAAGCATCTCTGAATTTAATCTTCAGTACCACAGACACACAAAATATCCCTTCACCTGAATTTGTGGGGGAGGGGAACTGGAAAAGGTGGCAACCTAGGACATAGTGCTTAAGTGTCTTGCTTAGTTAAATAAAAGGGACAGCATAGTTAAATAAAAGGGAGAGCATCTCTATAACTTGTTGGCTGTAGTCTTATCCACATTACTATTACTATAAGTGCATTTCTCCCTGTTCTTTAAATAAAAGTGAAAATACTAAAATTAGTAAGAACAGAAAAGTAGCAATAATCCTGGTATCTTAAATCCCGTCTTCCTGCCTTAGCATATGTTGTGTCTCTCCCCCCCCCCCCCCCCCCGGAATTTTTTCTGATTCCTTGCTTGGCTAACTACTATGTAGTTTTAATCAAAGTTTATACATAATTCTTCTAGTAACAGCTCCTTTATTACTGTTTGACTTTTTTCAGTTGTGCTGGGAATTGAACCCAGGGCCTTGTGCATGCAAGACAAACACTCTACCAACTGAGCTTTATCCCCAGCCTCCAAATTTTAAATTGTAACCACTCAAGTAATGCACAAAGGTGTCTTGTAAAAACTTTATTTAATACAAAAATCAATGGAAAGATGATAATTCTGCATGCCTTCCAATTCTTTTCCTTTCCAAAGATTATCATTATAAACATTAATTCATCTGCTGAGTAACACTTTGGAATGGATCTTTCTAGATGTCTAGATGCATATGATTATAGGTATATATAAATATATGTGTGTGCTTTTAATTTCATTTTGCTTTTTTTGGTACAAATTCTACTTCTATTCCACAGCTTACTCCTTTCACTTAACAAGTCTTGAAGATATTTTCATGTCAGCACATTTGAATATTCTTTTTAATGATTGCAGTATATTTTATAGTAAAATAAGCAACATAGTTTAACTTTTTATTATAATGAATTAAGTCTTTTTTTTTTTTACTTACAGGTTCTTTTCAGTTTTTCTTCATTTCAAACAATGTGTGCCAAATATAACTTCCCCTGAAGTAGATTTGCTGGATTATCCACATCCAAACTTGGTGTATACACTGTGTTTTTGCTCAAGAAAGACTCAATGTTTGCTTTTAAAATACAACTAGATACAACTTTTTAAAAAAATGTTTATTTTTTAGTTATTGGTGGACATAGTATCTTTATTTTATGTGGTGCTGAGGATTGAACTCAGTGCCTCACACATGCTAGGCAAGCCCTCTACCTCTAAGCCACAACCCCAGCCCCTAGATTATAATCTTTTTTTTTTTTTTTTAGTTATAGATGGACAATATTTTATTTATTTATGTGGTGCTGAGGATCGAACCCAGTGCCTCACACATGCTAAGCAAGCGCGCTACCACTGAGCCACAACCCCAGCCCCAATTATAATCTTTTTTATTATTATTATTATTTTTTAGTTGTAATTGGACACAAAATACCTTTATTCCATTCATTTATTTTTATGTGGTGCTGAGGATCCAACCCACGGCCCTTCGCATGCTAGGCAAGTGCTCTACTGCTGAGCCACAATCCCAGCCCCCCCATTATAATCTTCTTAGCAGAAGTTTGATGCTCTTATGGTACTTTTTTTTTTAATATTTATTTTTTAGTTATAGGTGGACACAGTACCTTTATTTTATTTGTTTGTGGTACTGAGGATCAAACCTAGTGCCTCATGTATGCTAGGCAAGCTCTCTACCTCTGAGTCACAACCCCAGCCCCATCATGGTACTTTTAATGGTCTTAGCAAATACTGTCTGCCTGCCTTACAAGTCTGGGAAAGAATCAAATGAGATTATGTTTGTGAAAAATGGTAACTGCATTTGAATAGTGTTTTCCAGTTTACAAAGCACTTTACGTTATCTTACCTGATCTTTGCTGCAAATAAGGAAGATAATTGTTATTACATCTGTTAACTAATGAAGGAAACTGGGACTCAGAAGTTACAGTTTTGCTGTGATTACAGAGCTTGAAGGAAGGAATTATACATCCTCATACAATAAATTAATAAATTTCATTTTAGACTATTCTACTGACTAAAAGACAATAAGCAATTTTGAAGTATTAGTTTAATGTTTTAGGTAGATAAGAAAAATCTGATTCGATATTTCATGTTTGAAATGATTGTTAAAGCAGAGAGGTCGATAAATGAATGTATGTTTGTAGTTCTTTGTCAGTCTACAGGTCTTTAACATTTATCTGTAATTTTCCTATTTCTCCTTTCCTCAGGGCCCAGACATTACACTGTCAAAACTATACAAGTTAATTGAAGACTCTTGTCCTCAGCTGGCAAATTCAGTACAGATCAGGTAAATTTTATTTTCTTCTGTATATACAGAAAAGATTTCAAGGTAGATAAAAATTACAATAGGGCATGTGGTAATTAATTTTTTAAGTAAAATATGGGAGTCTAAGGCAGCAGGATGGAAAGTTTGAGATCAGTTGGGCAACTTAGACTCTTTTGCAAATAAAACATTTTTTCCCCCTAAAAATAAAACTTAAAATGGGCTGGGTTGTAGCTCAAAAATAGAGCATTTGCCAAACCTATGCAAGATCCCGTGTTCAATTCCTAGTACCACCACCAAAAAAAAAAGTTATCTTTATTCTAAGGGTTGTTTTCATAAGTACCTTTAATGAATTTAAAAGAAAATGGATACATTAAACATACTTCTTTGCAGCCTTTTTTTTCCTTGAAGTTTTTATTTTGTGTGGATCTACCTCATTTTTTTTTTAATTGTTGCAGATAATTTTATTTTTATGGGCTGATACTTGGATAAATTTTATGATCAAGAAAACAGCAATGATGCTGGGCATGGTGGTGCATGCCTGTAATCCCAACATCTTGGGGGAGGCTAAGGCAGGAGGATTGAGAGTTCAAAGCCAGCCTCAGCAACTTAACAAGACCCTGTCTTTAAATAAAAATATTTTTAAAAAGGCGGCTGGGGATATGGCCCAGGATTGAGTACCCCTGGGTTCAATCCCTGGTACTAAAAATATATATATAAAGAGAAAAAAAGAAAGCAGCAGTGTTACTTTTCAGAAATATGGGAGTGACGTTTCAGATTATGAAGTTTGTTTTACATGTTACTGTTTTATACAAATCTCTGAATCACCTTTAAAATAGATAACTCAGGAATATGGAAAGTGGGAAGAAATACTTCAGAAATATGGAGCATGGGCCTTCCTAAAATATACACCTCACTTTTCTCATTCAGAATCAAACTGATGGCTGAAGGCGAATTGAAGGATATGGAACAGTTTTTTGATGACCTTTCAGATTCTTTTTCTGGAACTGAACCAGAGGTTCACAAAACAAGTGTAGTAGGTATGAAACTCTTCTAAGAAGAGCAGAGAGTATTTTCATTGAAGTGAGCAACTTTCTAAGTGACACCTTTACTTCGCTTTATCTGTGAACAAACAGTAGGGATATTAGACATGTTATGGTTTGTATTTATTGCCTTGCTGTTGAAGAATTGAATTTAAGAATAATTATGGAAAAGTACCTTCTGTTTTTTTCTGTAATAGTCAGAGTCCGAGCCTGGTTCTGGGGTTTTTAGGGTTTGCCAGCTCTTTCTTACAGTTCTCTGGATCACTTGCCTGCATTGTGCAACTGTAAGTGAGGGTCACCAACCAAACTTACGAAGAGAGGTAAGTAAAAATATATTATTGTTAACAGTATATAAAATGCAGATATATATGTATGTGTATATATATATATATATATATATATATATATTTTTTTTTTTTTTTTTTTTTTTTTTAAAGCTTTTCTGTTAGCTTTGTATCCATGCTCCATCTCTCTGGGTTTTTTTTGCATGGTAATTTTTATATTACTCAACATCAGGAATTTGTTGATCTCCTCCTTTGTTCCAGGCTCTGGATATACAAGGTAGACATTGATTTTTCATTAATGGAGATGATGTTTTGGTGGGGGAAACCAGATGGTAAAAAGTAAAGAAATAAATAAGATGATTCAGATATTTAAAACAACCATAAAGAAACTAAAATAGAGACTGTGAGGGATGAAAATGGAGTAACTGGGATGGGAGGACTGAGCCCCAAATAAGGAAAGATGAGCTTTGTAAGAATGAGGGAAGAACATTCCAGGAGGAGGAAACAGCACCTGCAAGTGTCTCTTTGGTTCTTGTGAAGGAAGGATTGTGCCACATAGTCATTGGTATCCTGTAGCTGGATTTCAGTTAATGCTTTCATCTTGTCTGTGGTCTTATTTTTTAGGTTTATTTCTGCGTCACATGATCTTGGCCTACAGTAAACTTTCTTTCAGTCAAGTGTTTAAACTATACACCGCCCTTCAACAGTACTTCCAAAATGGTGAGAAAAAGACAGTGGAGGATACTGAGATGGAACTGACAAGTAGAGAGGAAGGAGAAAGAAAAATGGAAAAAGAAGAACTTGACGTGTCCGTAAGGTAACTGAAATTATCCAGTTTCAATGTGTTGTTTCTTTTCTGGGAGGCTGTGACTGGTAGCATTCATTATATCAAAGTGAATTAACAATCATTAATTTAGTGAAATTTTATTGAATGCCTCCTAAGGTTTAGGCATTGGGCAGGTGGTATCACTGCTCACCTAGTTGTTCAGATTTGAAACTAGCGATATCCTTTGTTCCTCCCTATCCTTCACCCTGAAATTTAGTCCCTCTGCAGGTCCATTCAATCCTTCCTTCCCAGCATGCTCTGATCATGTTTGTGTCTCTCATCACCACTAATGCCCTGAGAGTCAAGCACCAGATCTCTACTGCACGTCTTCACCAGCGTCCTCACTGGTATCTTGTTTCTCTACAGTCCATCTTCACCCAGTTCCTAGGAAACCTGTAAGAGTGTGAATCAGGTCATTGCACTCTTCTGTCCCAAACCCTTCATTGGTTGTTCTTGGAATTCAGAGACAGAAATCCCAGTTTGCCATGGCTCCAGGCCTGCCTGATTTAGCCTTGCACTCTTCTCCAATCTCTTGCTCTTGCTCTCCCCTCGGCTCTCAGCAGTCTCACTGGCTTTCTTTTGTTTTTTTTCAGTACTCCAGACCAGTGTGTCACAGGTTTCTTGGAATGTTCTTTCTTGATTTTTCACCTGATTTTTTTCATTTTACCATCCAGAATTCAGCTCCCATGTCCTCAGACAGGCCTTCCCTGACCAGGTATGAGTCTCCCCCATCCCAAACACTTTCAGCTTTACTTCTTTCATCGTTCTCATCACCAGGTAGCCTTTTATTTATTTATTTTTTAGAGAGAATTTTTTAATATTTATTTTTTAGTTCTCGGCGGACACAACATCTTTGTATGTGGTGCTGAGGATCGAACCTGGGCTGCACGCATGCCAGGCGAGCGCGCTATCGCTTGAGCCACATCTCCAGCCCCACCAGATAGCCTTTTAAAAATTTTCTTACTTGTTTAACTCTTTATCCTGCCTTCTCACACCTTTAGAGCTAAAAACTTTCTCTGTCTTGTTTCACCATATTTTCCCCTGTGCTTAGCATAGTGTCTTTACAGTGCTTATCATAGTGTCTGCGAATATGTGGTGGATGGAGGCAGCAAAGAGTCAAAATATATAGTCCATTGCCCACGCTGGTAATTGACCCAGGAACACATTTTTTTATTGACTTCTTTCCTTTTGCTGTCATACTTGCCCTCTCCCCAGGCACTGGTACCTGGGACCACCTTCCACATGAACTACTTGCACTTGAAGGTGAAAGCATTTATGTATTGGTGCGCACACAGAGATATTCCATGCTCTCAAGGAGCCTACAGTCTGGTGAGGAAGACTCAGAGTAAACAAATGGTATAATACAGTGAGGGCAGAGCTCTGAGGGCAGTGAGCCCTTCCTGCCCTAAGTAGGCTGGCTAGCCCCCTGAATGGTGAGGGATGACATTGTGTATTGACAAGAATGCTTCCCTTCCGTCTCTGAGAGGCCTGTGTACTGTCATGTGATTTGTTCAGCGTATGCTGGGACCAAGAAGAAAGTAGTACTAGTTAGTGCTTCTGAAAACTCTTTTCTCCCCAGATGCTTGCAAGTGCTTCTTGCCTAGTGGAAAGAATGGAGCTTAGGGCTGAGTCTGGCTGAGGAACCACACCGTTGAGTATGGGTGCTGGCTTCTCTGCTTACTCCCTCTGAGACCCTGGGCAGATTACTCACCTTCTCTGTGCTTCAAATTCCTCATGTACGAAATGGGGCTCATACCACCTCAGAAGAGTGTTAGAATAATTAAATTAGTTTATATTATATTAAGTATTTAAAACTATGGTTAGTAAATAGTGTTCATAAATGTTAATTATTATTATTCCAACTTCTCTTTCAGTCAATTCCCCTAAGCAGTGCCTCTATGCTATAGTGTAATCCTTGTTCTGGTACTTTGTTTGCTTAGAGTAGGGAAGCATCACTTCTTTGGAAATGTTAATTTAGACTTTTCATGTTTTATTTTGGCTTTTTCTTAAATTGGTCTGATTTAATTAGTTTTTGTTGGTTGATGCACCGGGTATTAACACCAGGAGTGCTTTTACCACTGAGCTGCCCTTTTTATTTTTATTCTATGACAGGCTCTGGATAAATTGTCCGGGCTGGCCTTAAACTTTGGCTCCTCCTTACCTCAGTCTCCTGAGTTGTTGGGATTACAGATGTATGCCCCCTGTGCTAATTCAATTAGGTTTAACTACATCTTTTTGTTGTTTTTCCCGATTTAAGAATTTATGGCGGGGCTGGGATTGTGGCTCAGAGGTAGAGTGCTCGCTAGCATGCGTGAGGCACTGGGTTCAATCCTCAGCACCACATAAAGTAAAATAAAGACATTGTGTCCACCTATAATTAAATAATAATAATATAAAAAAAGAATTTATGGGGCTGGGATTGTGGTTTAGCAGTAGATTGCTTGCCTAGCACATTCGAGGCCCTGAGTTCGAACCTCAGCATTACATAAAAATAAAATATATTGTGTCCAACTACCACTAAGAAATAAATATTTAAAAAAAGAATTCATTTATGAACATAATAATTACTATAAAGGTATGTTTTCAGAAAATAGTATACCTTTAGGAAACTGAATTTCATCATGAAAATTAAAGAAGTATCATTTGAACATAAATACAAGTACTATTCTTTGTCCAAAACATTATTTTGCTAGAGAATTTTTTTAAAGCCTCTTTTTTTAATATTTATTTTTTAGTTGTAGTTGGACATAATACCTTTATTTAATTTATTTATATATGTTGCTGAGGATAGAATCCAGGGCCTTGTTGCGCTAGACGAGTGCTCTACTGCTAAGCCACAACCCCAGCCCCTAGAGAATTTTTTTTTAACTGTATGAGAAGGAAGATTTCAGTTTTCTTTCTGTGATTTTTTTTTTTTTTTTTTTGTGTGTGTGTGCTGGGAATTGAACCCAATGCCTCATGTATACCAGGCAAGTGCTCTAGCCCTTTTGTAATCTTTTCTAATGTTTTATTGCATTTTGAGAAAGTCTTTCCTTCCTTCCTTCCTTCCTTCCTTCCCTCCCTCTTGTTCTTATAATTATTAGAATATTTTTAACACTTTTCAGGGAAATAATTTTTCTTGCTTTAGAAATTTGTATTCAAGTTAAAAAGGTAAAAAATATGCACATTAAGTAATATTGCATAGCTTGCTGATTTCCCATTTCACAATGAAATTATTCCTGTTTGAAAATGAGAATACAACTGTTAGTTCAGCAGTGAGGAGATAAATATTCAGTCAATAAATGTTTACCAAGTGTCTTGAAAATCCATTTATGAAAGAAATAGCCTGAGAGTTAGTGTGTGTGTTTTGTGGGTTGCTGTTACTATGCTGCAGTTCTTGCATACTGCACTAGAAGAGACCTGTGGGGTTGCACCACATGAGCTTGTCATGAAGGTTGGTAGGCTGCAGGCTAGTCCAGCCACCTCTTCTGTGGGCTTTTACAAGAGCCTCACAAATGTAGGAATTCTCTAGTATTTCATCAGTGGCTTAATGTCAGTCTCCCAAACTCATTAATTTATTCAACAAGTATTTATTGGATGCTTCTTGTGAAGGCACTGTGGGGCACTGTGCTAGATGCTGTGTGTCTGCAAAGAAAGTCCCTCTCCTTATGTAGTTATGTGGGATTGAACAGATAATAGAGTATAAATATGTAGTTTCAGAGAGTGTCAACGCAGTGAAAAAATGAAATGGGAGACAGGGATATAGAGTGACTGGGGTAGGGGAGCTGTAGAGGGGACCTCTTAAGATTGGGAGCTAGGTGTCCCGACACAGGGACAAACTGATATGGATGCAGTGGAGGATAGTACAGCCTGAGCATTGGAGGTTTTGTTTTTGTTTTTGTTTGGGTGCTGGAGAATGAAGCCAAGGGTGCTATACCACTGTGCTACATCTTCAGTCCTTTTTATTTTTTGTTTTGAGACAGGGTCTCAATAAATTGTTTAGGGCCTCACTAAGTTGCTGAGGCTGACTTTGAACTTGGGATCCTCCTGCCTCAGCCTCCCAAATTGCTGTGATTACAGGTGTGTGGCAACACACCCTGCCTGTTTTTTTTTTCCTTATATAATCCTCTTCAGAGTCATGTGGCAAAGGGATATTTTTCATACTTTGCTCTTAATATGAAATTTTTTTATTTGTGCAAATATGAATTTTTTTAAAAAGTCTAGATGTTTTTTGTTTTGTTTGGTTTTTCATGGCTGAGGATTGAAACCAGATTCTTGTGCGTGGTAGGAAGGTGCTCTACCACTGAACTACATCCCCAGTCCTGGAGTCAAGATTTATAATAGTATACTTCTTGTTTATCTGTTCTGTGTAATCTAAACTGCTAACAAATGGTGATTTCCAAGAAAAGGCCTCTTTCCTTCTTTTTATTGTAGAACCATCTCGTCTCTCTAGCAAGGAGTTACAAACTTTATTCATTCATTTCCCAAACATTGAGTGCCTGATGTGTGTGGAGGCACTGAGTGTACTGGGTGTTTGCCTGCAGCACAGGTGAGGAACAGCCATGGTGGTGATGCATAGGTGGCGTGATGGCCATCACTAGGAGAGGTAGGAGCTCAAGTGAGGGATGGTAGAAAGAATTCCTGGCGGATATGACCTTTGAGTTAGTCCTGAATGATGGATGGGGTATGAAGTACAACAGTGGTTGGGAGAAGAGCACTGAGGCTGAGGAAGCAGTGGTAGTGTCTTGTTGCATTGGGGTGCCTGTAAGGGCCAGAATGTAGGTAAGAGGGAGAGGCAGGACCTAATGCACCACTCTTCCCTGGCTAAGCTTCAGTTTGCAAGGTGGTGGGAAATTCCTGAATGGCTTTACATCACAGGTGATATGGTAGATTTGCATTTTAGAAAGGAAGCTGTGTAGAATTTAGATCTGTATTTCTATATGATTATCTTGTATGAGCTTTGGCAGGTCATTCAACATCACTTTTTTTTCCCCAATAAATTTTTATTGTAAAATACACCTGACATAAAATTTGCCATCTTAACCATCTTTCTTTTTTTTTTTAAATATTTATTTTTTATTTGTAGTTGGATACAATACCTTTTTTTAATTTTGTTTTTTTATGTGGTGTTGAGGATCGAACCCAGGGCCCTGCACGTGCTAGGCAAACGCTTCACTGCTGAGCCATCACCTGAGCCCCATCATCTTGACCATCTTAAGTGGTAAAAAGTGTACTGACATTAAGTACATTTATATAACTTGTATAACCATCACCAACATCCATCTCCATAATTTGGATTTTTGGTGTTGGGGTTGAACCCTGGGCCTCATGCGTGCTATACTTCCAGCTTCTGTAACTCTTTTTATCTTGTAAAACCTATACCTATTAAATAATAACCCTTCATTCCACCTTCCCCCCAAGTCCCTGGCAACTACTATTCTGCTTTTTACTATTTTGATGATCCTATGTACCTCATGTAAGTGAAATCATACGATATTGGTCTTTTTTTTTTTTTTTGGTACTGGGGGGAAAAAATAAAGGGGCAGTTGACCACTGAGCCACATCCCCCAGCCCTATTTTGTATTTTATTTAGAGACAGGGTCTCACTGAGTTGCTAACCACCTCGCTTTTGCTGAGGCTGGCTTTGAACTGTGATCCTCCTGCCTTAGCCTCCCAAGCTGCTGGGATTACAGGTGTATATCACTGCTTTCAGCTGGATTGGTCTTTTTTGATTGATTTATTTCATCAATCCATGTTGAGGCACATGCCAGAATTCCCTTTTTAAGGTTGAATAACATTTCATTGTGTGTACATGTTATATTTTGTTTATCTGTCGTAGGACACTTGGGTTGCCTCCATGTTTTGACTGTAGTGAATAATGCCAGTATGAGCATGGGTGTGCAAATATCTGCTTGCGTGAGTCCCTCCTTTCAGTTCTTTTGGGTGTACAGCTGGAAGTGGAATTGCTGGATCATTTTGCGATTACATGTCTGAGAAGATGGAATTATTTTAAAGTTTTTGGACTCTTTATGCAAAAATCTTTATGATTTTGTAAATGTTGTCATTTTTACTCTTGTTTAATTTATTACTATTTTTGTTGTTTTCCAGAGAAGAAGAGGTATCTTGCAGTGGACCGCTATCTCAAAAACAAGCGGAATTTTTTCTTTCTCAGCAGGTATGTTAATTCTGCAAATTATCATGAAGTTTTAAAGATTCTTGTGACATTCTGTATTATGGCATATGCTTGTGATGTTGAGAGGTTTAGTAGTGAATCTGCATTATCCTTGACTCTTGGTTCTACCTTTTCCACCAACAGTGTAGTTGTAGCTATGTATCCCTTATTTTTTGTGATTTTATTTTTGTATTAACATTATAATGCAGGTTCCTTTAGTAATGGTATGTGCCCAGAAACACACGAGTTAGAAGATGTGCTTCCCTTCTCCCAACGTTTGTTTTTTATGGACATTTTTCATATATTAAAAATGTCAAAAAAAATTATAAATACCCGTAAGCCCATCACCTGTATCCCATAGTTAATATTTTCTTGTGTTTACCAAATACTTACCTATCTTTTAGCCAATTATAAATATTTACCCATCCTCTATCTGATTTCATCTTTATTTTTTTTGCAGTACTAGGGATTGAATCTAGGGACACTTTACAGCTGAGCTACATCCCTAGGCCTTTTTATTTTATATTTTTTATTTTGAGACATAGTTCACTATATTGCCCATGCTGGCCTCAAACTTGTGACCCTCCTGCCTCAGCTTCCCAAATTGCTGGGGTTTCAGGCCTGTGCAGCCACACCCAGCTTTATCTTATTTTTGATGTATTACAAGTTGCAAACACCAGTATACTTTAATATAAGCATTTCTTTTTTAATATACCTTTTTATTATTATTATTGTTGTTATTATTATTATTATTGTTATTTTGACTTTTTTTTTTTAGTTGTAGGTGGACACCGTATTTTTATTTCTTTTTTATGTGGTGCTAAGAATCGAACCCAGTGCCTCATGCATGGTAGACAAGCACTCTACCACTGAGCCACAACCCCAGCCCAGATACAAACATTTCTTTTTGCTGCTTTTGAGCCACATGTTTTCATTTTCTTGGTAATGTAAGCTGAACATTTTTCTTCTGTTATTTTCAGTATAGAATTTTTATTTTTCGTCCTATTTTTCTAGCTTTTTCGGATTTTGTTAATTTCTTTGTGGTTAGGTGCAGTGGTACATGCCTGTAATTCTAGTGATTTGGGAGGCTGGGTCAGAGGGATGGCAAGTTTGAGACCCTTGTCTCAAAAGAATGAAAAGGGTTAGGGATGTGGCCCTGTGGCAAAGCACTCCTGGGTTCAATACCCAATACCCCCATACTCCCCAAAAGTTTTTTTTCTGCAGGAAGATATAACATTTAGATCTAGATAAAATTTATGTACTCACTTCTGCAGGTTAATTTCAGACAGGTTAGAAAAGCTCACCTACACAGTGGTTAACTCTAAGGAAAAAAATGCTTGTCAGTTGGATCCTCCTCTCCGCCTCACATCTCATTACATTACAGATGGATTAAAGAGTTAAATGTGAACGCTTAAAGCTATAATTAGAACAGTAGGAACTACATATTAACTTTTAACTGATCTGGGTGGGGAAAGACTTTCTAAACATAAAAGCAGGGGAAGAAAACAAATAGAAGATCATTTGCTTTTTCAGCATAAAAATTAATGTCTTTGTGTCATAACATGTTCTAACAAAATTAGAAGGCAAGCAACAAAATGTAAAAGCATTTGCAATAAATGTGAGTGAAAGGGCTGGGGATGTGGCTCAGGCGGTAGCACGCTCGCCTGGCATGCGTGCGGCCTGGGTTCGATCCTCAGCACCACATACAAACAAAGATGTTGTGTCTGCTGAGAACTAAAAAATAAATGTTAAAAAAATAAAATGTGAAAGGGAATACCTTTTCTTTAGAAACCATTTTCAGACTATTTGATGATGAGACAGTTTAAAATGTTAATATTTTATGAACAGGAAGTAAAATTATGTCATATTCTAATCTTGTTAAAAATGTGTTATGCATGCGTATCCACTTATGAGCACACACATTCATAATCTCATACAGGAAAAAATAGGATAAAATACATTAGAGTATTATTATTTTTGTGTGGTTGGATTATAGATTTTTCTTCTGTACCCTTTCCATAGTTTTGGAATTTTCTATAAATGATATAATGAATTAAAAGTGGAATGAGAAATTGCTACTACTTATGCAAAAACTAGACAAAATTGGAATAAATTGTCTATAAACTCATTAAGCATTTAGTTTGAAACTAGTTTTCTACACATGCATTAGCTTTGCATCACTGTAATGAAATAACTGACATAGGCTGCTTAGGAGGTAAAGAGAGGTTTATTTTGGGCACAGTTTGGGAGTTTCAAGTCCAAGATCAGGTGGCCCCATTGGTTTGGGATTCTAGTGAGGGGTGCACATCCTGGTAGGAATATATGCTGGTGATCACGTCTCTCACCAGAAAACAGAGACTGAGGAAACAGACTGAGAGACCAATATTCTACTGTCCTTTTCAAAGGAATGCTCTGAATGACCTAAGTCATTCATAGGCCTTGTCTTTTAAAGGTTTTCCTGCAGCATTGCCAACCTGGGGACCAAGGCTTTAACACGTGGACATTTAACATCCAAACTATTGCAACATGATTTGTATAATTGTTATTGATATTACCCATAAGAAACAACTAGGGTGGGATGGGGACCTGGATATCACAGGGCACTTTGCAAGTAAGCACTGGAGTTAGAAGGATAAGTAAACACTTTGCATGCCTGGAAGGAGCTTTTACTTTCTGGGAAGGGTCAGACTGGCCATTTTAATGTACTCTATTAGGTGCTACAGGAAGGGAAAGTACAGAAGGCTTGTAAGATCTCGCCTAGTCTAGAAAGTGATAGAAACAAGTAGCTGAAATCTAAATTGGGACCTGGAGGGTGAGCTAGATGTGGGCATAGTTGGCTAGACCTGGGAAGGGTGTGCAGGTGGGGAATGGTGTTCAGGACACTTGGTGTTTTGAGGAGAGGAAGCAGCCATGTGGATGGTGAGGAGGAGAATGTGTTCCAGTCAGGCCCTGGAGTGAGGGCAGAAGGCAAGGACTGAGGAGACCAGGACTGGACCTTAAGGACTCTCTGTGGAAAAGAAAATCATCAAGTGATGCTAGTTAGTATGTATTTTCATGTGTTAATTAACCATATCTTTTTACTGAGTTGACATTTTAAATTTCAGGCTTCTTTGTTAAAGAATGATGAGACTAAAGCCCTCACTCCAGCTTCCTTGCAGAAAGAATTGAACAACTTGTTGAAATTTAATCCTGATTTTGCTGAAGCGGTGAGTCTTTTCTGGAATTTGTTGCTGAGATGGAAGAAGGTCAAGGCTGTTTGGTATATTAAATAGCCACACAAATGAGGATCAATATTAACATTGGCCTAAGTTCTTGAAAGAATATTGACAAGAAACAGCACAAGTTGCAAAGCTCCTCCCACCCTCACCTAGCTGTAGGGCATTGCTTAGCTTTTGATGTTCTTTCATTTGTCATCTCTCTGATGATGTGAGCTTTGGACAGATGATGATAGAATAGACTGACCAAAAAAAAAGAAAGAGAAAAAAAAGATGGGCTGGGGATATAGCTCAGTTGGTAGAGTGCTTGCCTTGCATGCACAAGGCCCTGGGTTCCATCTCCAGCACCACCAAAAAAAAAAAAAAAAAAAGAAGAGAAAAAAGGTTTGGGGGCTGAAAAACTCTTTTCCTCAGCATTTTTTTTTTTTAATTGTTGTTCTTACTGTTTGTTTTTTACTAGGGACTTGAACATAGGGGTTCTTAACCACTGAGCTACATCCCTAGCCTTTATTATTTTGTATTTTGAGACAGGGCCTTGTAAGTTGCTGAGGCTTTCCTTGAATTTGTGGTCCTCCTGCTTCAGCCTCCTGAATTGCTGGGATTATAGGTGTGCACTGCTGCGTCCATTTATGAACATTTTTATCACCCCCTTATTTCACCCCATACTAGGGATTGAACCCAGGAGTGCTCTACCACTGAGCTACATCCCAGCCCTGTTGATATTATTCTGAGACAGAGTCTTGTTGCATGCCCAGACTGCCTCAAACTTGTGATCCTCTTGCCTCAGCCCCGCAAGTTACAGGGATTACAGGCGAGCAACATCATATCTAGCTGTTTTTTCCTTAAATTTTAATAATTTAATTCCTTGGGATTTTTAACTCTGAAAATTTTTCTTCACTAAGTTTGACTTAGTATCTGGGTTTGACATCAGAGTTTATTTATATGTGGAAATATGCCCATTTTTCTTTGTTGTAAATTAGCAAGAAGTTTGATTCAGTGATTCAAAATAAAAGAAGGTAATGAATTTTAATTTCAGTAACTCACTGTGTTTTAATTTGGGCATTTAGAAAAATCAGTTTTGTACTTTGCAATGAATTTAGATTTTAAGATATTTAGATTTGAGCTCACAGTGTTCCTCAATACCTGAACTAGGTGAGGCCTGCTGCCCTTGTGTGTCATTCATGGATCCTAATGCAATCAGAGGCCTAATGGATGTATGTTTAGGATAAAATTGACACAAACAGTAATGGCACTTCCAATTTTTATTCGTGGACTCCCTCTGGAGCAACTGTGCTAGCTCCTATTGAGAAAAGATAAGATAAATCTTGACTTTTCTCAAGGGTAGGGGAAATAACAGGTGTCCAGCCCATGGTGCTCTCCATAATAGTATTCCAGCAGAGGAAGAGCAACTTTTTAAAAAATGTGGAGGGGCTGGGGATGTGGCTCAGCAGTAGAGCGCTCGCCTCGCATGTGCGAGACCCTGGGTTCGATCCTCAGCATCACATACAAAAATAAACAAGTGAAATAAAGGTGTTGTGTCCAACTACAACTAAAAAATAAATATTTTTTAAAAATGTGTTTTATTTCTTGTTTCAGCATTACCTTAGCTACTTGAACAACCTCCGCGTCCAGGATGTTTTCAGCTCAACACACAGCCTCCTTCATTATTTTGACCGCCTGATTCTCACTGGAGCTGAAAGTAAGAGTAACGGGGAAGAGGGCTATGGCCGGAGCTTGAGATATGCTGCTCTGAACCTGGCTGCTTTGCACTGCCGCTTCGGTCACTAGTAAGTTTATAGATTTTTTTCCATGCAGACATTGAAAAAACGATGTTAATGAGATGTGCTTTTAAAAAATATTGTATTTTTTTAAAAATAAGAAGAAAGAGAGTCTTCAACTTAATTTTTCACTGACTTCAAAGAGTAAATAGACCCTTTTGCACTGGCACAGGTTAATGAAAGCCTTTTACCTAACTAGTCCGCCCCCTGGTGTCACAATTTAGCATTACTGTCTTAGTGCCAGGCCTCTGGATTCATTACTTCTGAGAACAGCACAGCCATTCAGTGAAAAAGAAATTAGGCAATTAGGCCAGAAATCCCCAGCAGGTATTTTTGGAGGTAATAATGGGACTTTAAAAGCCATTTTTAGTATTTTCAAAAATGAATTAAATAAAAATAAGTAAAAATTGTTTCAGACAGCACCAAAAAAAAAAAAAAAAATGAAAAGGAAGTGTTTCCTCTATTGGATGAAAGACTGCACATGCTTGCTAAAAGCCACATGTTTGCTTCTGGATGGAGTCCAGGAAGCCAGTAAGGTGACACTGTTTTATTTTATTGCTAAGCTATACCTGTATTTTTAATGTATAAAAATAGGAAAATAAATTATTATTTAGTAAATAGAGTTAGATTTCAATAACTCACCAGAGGCTGTTTTGGAAATGAGGAAATGATGTGAATAATGGTGAAATGTAGGAAATTACTAATTGAATGAGTTATATTGTCCCCTACACCTCACCCTGTGACTTTTTACTATTTAACAAAACTGTTGCTGCCTGTAATTCCAGCAGTTTGGGAAGCTGAGGCAAGAGGATTGTGAGTTTAAAGCCAACCTCAGCAACTTAGCGAGGACCTGAGTCAGGGAGACCTTAGTTCTAAATAAAATATAAAATAGGGCTGGGGATGTGGCTCAGTGGTTGAACACCCTGGGATTCACTCCCCATTACATCTCTGCTATAGACATCTTTGATTAGAGACATTAGGGTGTGTTAATAGAAGAATGGTATTCAAAGTTCAAGAATAAAGAAGTACCAGGAAGCACCCAGGGAATTCTGTTAATTTCTGGTTGTTAGATTTTGTTTTATTTTTTGGTACTGGGGTCTGAACCCAGGGCACTCTACCACTAAGCTACATCCCCAGGTCTTTCAAACTTTTTTATTTTTTAGTAGGGTCTTGCTGAGTTTCCCAGGCTGGTCTCAAACCTGAGATTACAGACACATGCCACCATGTCCTTCCTGGTTGTCAGGTTTCAAAAGAGATGTAGACAGCTGGAGCTTGTGGGGGGGACAGTCTTTCAGTATTGAGACATTTAAAGCTAGGACACATGAATAACGTGGGAAGGATGTAAGAACATTTAGCCTGGAGAAAATGTTAGCCAAGTATCTGTTAACATCTTCAGGTAGTGAAAGGTCATGTGAAAAAGATTTGGATTGATTGAGATGTGGCTGCCAGATAAGGTTGAAAGCTGGTGAGCACCAGGTAAGGGTGTAGTGCTTCATTTTATGTAGATGCCAGGTGCAGTGGTTCCAGCTACTTGAGAGGTTGGGGGAGGTTTGTAGAGATTGAACCTAGGGGTACTTAACACTGAGCCACATTTCTAGTCTTTTTCTTTTCTTTTTTTTTCAATATCTTTATTTTTATGTGGTGCCGATTATCGAATTCAGTGCCTCACACGTGGGAGGCAGGCACTCTACCAGCCCCAGGCCTTTTTCTTTTTTGAGACAGACTTTCACTAAGTGGCTAAAGCTGGCCTCAAGCTTATGGTCCTCCTTTCTCAGCCTGCTCCCAAGCTACTGGGATTACAGACAAGTGCCACTACACTTGGCACCAATAACTTATTTTTGTGTTAAAAACTGCTTTCCTGCCACGTGCATCATGCCTGTAATCCCAGTGACTTGGGAGACTCAAGCAGGAAAATTCAAATTGTCTACTGACAAAGACCCTTAGCAGTTTAGTGTGATCCTGTTTTAAAATAAAAAAGGGCTGATAATATAGCTTAGCTGTAAATCATTTCTGAGTTTAATCCCCAGTATCCAAAAATAAATACATAAAGCTTTCGCTGGTGTTCAGAAATTTGTCTTGACTTTTCTCAAGGGTAGGGGAAATAGGGCTGGGGTTGTGGCTCAGTGGTAGAGCACTTGACCTTGCATGTGTGAGGCACTGGATTCAATTCTCAGCACCACATATAAATAAATGAATAAAACAAAGGTCCATCAACAACTAAAAATTTAAAAAGAAATTTGTATACAGCCTCTTAGATACAAATAATCTTTTGGTCTGCAGAATTTCTTTGTGTTTACAATATTGTCAGTGGATAGACAGCTAAAATTGGATGAATCCAAGTGAGAAAAGGAGGGATTTATTTATTTATTGGGGTGGGTACCAGGGATTGGATTTAGGAGTACTCAACCACTGAGCCACACCCCAGCCCTATTTCGTGTTTTATTTAGAGACAGGGTCTCACTGAGTTGCTTACCACCTCGCTTTTGCGGAGGCTGGCTTTGAACTCAAGATCTTCCTGAGCCGCTGGGATTATAGGCGTGTGTCACCATGCCTGGCAGAGGGTTTTTATTAATGTGTCATTGTGTCATTCTTCTCAATTTACTCATGTCCAGGCATCTGCCCCCCCCCCCCATTCCTGTATCTATGGTCCTGTATAAATCTGTGTCACTTGACTAAAAGAATTGTGGGGATTTCTTGAAAATCTTGATCTTTATTTGTGGAGCATCTACCATGCACTAGGCACAGTTCAGCTGCTAGGGATATAGAAGTGAGAAACTAACCAACCTGTTGTGGAGCTTATCATGAAGGAGATGGACACTATAAACAGGTAGCAGCTCAGCTTTCTCTGATCTCTGTTGACCTAACATTTGAACAGAGGTTTAAAGGATTTATGGGAGTTGAGTGCTCTGTTCATGTCAGTGAAAAGAGCATGTGTAAAGGCCCCGAGGCAGGGTTTATGTGGCACATTTGAGGAGCAAACAGTGTGATTGGAATCCTGTAAGTGAGGAGGAGGGGAATATGTTTAGGGAGCTGGCAGGATCAGAGCAGTCCTAGAAGCCAGGTAAGGACTTTGGCTTTAACTCTAAGTGACATAGAGAGCCCTTGTTCAGAGGCTACAGACCTGTCTGCTCTGGCATTTGGAAAATAGCAGACACCTCATTCATTTCAGATATTGTAACCAATTTGTCTCTTCTCTTTTACTGAAAACTCTTATTAGGATTTTTTGATTAATAGCAATGGAAAACCAGAAGATCCCTTTAGGATTTGTCTTGACTTTCTTGACATTTCTGTGTTGTAAATCTACATTTTCTTCCTGTCTTAGAAAAAATCTCTTTTTAGGCCAGTTTTAGTATTCTATCTGTATAATTCTCCTAAAGTGTTTTTCCCCTCTAAGCATAACATTATTGATTATCAGTTTTCCATGAAGTTAAATCAACTGATGTTTTTGAAGGCTTATATGTGCAGTTATGCTTCTTGCTTTTAAATAGCTTATGTTCTAGAGCAACATTAAAAGGGATTTAAAAGAAGTGCAAAGTAGGTAAAATGTATCTGGTTTCCTCTTTTTTCCTTTGGTACTGGGGATTGAACTCAGGGGTACTCAACCACTGAGCCACATCCCCATCTCTGTTTTGTATTTCATTTAGAGACAGGGTCTCACTTGAGTTGCGTAGCGCCTTGCCATTGCTGAGGCTGGCTTTAAACTCGTGATTCTCCTATCTCAGCCTCTTTCAGGTGTGTGCCACTACGCCTGGCTCCTCTCTCTTTTTTTTTTTTTTTTTTTGAGACAGGGTGTCTTTAAGTTTCCCAGGTTGGTCTCAAATTTGCAGTCCTCCTGCCTTAGCCTCCTGAGTCACTGGGATTATAGGCATGTGCCACTGCCCCTTGCTTGGTTTCTTTATTTGAACAAACAGTTATTGAGAAAAAAAAATTCGGCACTACCTAATTCAGATTACTCATGTGAGGCTTTTGCTAATGTTGGAAGAAAATTTATTGTGTATGTTTTTCCTTAAGTAAGTGACACCCAAGAATTTCTGGTCCTATTTTTAGATCTTTAGTAACCTAGTGTTTTTAAAGCTTCTGTTCTGTTAATTTGCCATTGGGAAGGCCAAAATTTAAGATGTGGCTTTTACCATCTAGAGGTTTATAAAGTGGTTGATGAAATAAAATTAATACAAGTTTAGTAAGTAGAAGGTAGTACATAGTAATATTTAATGAAACACACAGGGTGTTTCCAGAAGTGAGTGCTCAGCAGAGCTGAGAATAGCTGGCTAGACGTCCACAGAAATTGAGAGGATGGAAGAGACATTCCAGATTTGGCAGGGATGTTCATGGAAAAAGAATCTTCGGGCTAGGGTTGTGGCTCAGTGGTATAGAGTTGTTACCTAGCATGTCTGAGGGTTCGATTCTCAGCACCGTATATAAATAAATAATAAAATAAACAACCTATCAACAATTAAAAAAAAGAAAAGTGGGGGGAATCCTCAAAACACTTCTAAAAACTAATTTTGAAAAATTAATAAAAGCAACAAATGCACATATTAAAAAAAATCAAACAATGCAGAAAGGAATGCAGTGAAAAGTAAAATATTACCCCTCTCCTTGCCTCTCCTCTCAGTGGCTGACAACTGAAATATCTCAGAAACAGACATAAAAGCCATCCCTTCATTCCCTTTTTAGTAGACATTCACTTTAGAAGGCACATGTATTGTATCTCTGCTGTTGGTGTTTCCTGCTGCAGAGGTTGGGGCACGTCTCCGAGAGAACCAACCATAAATAGTCATAACTTCCAGCCCAGAGTCCTGCTCTCCAGTGACTTGTGTACAGATGACTTCCTGCTACCGATGTTTGCACATGTTTGTAATTGTTAATGGTTATTAATGTTTAGTCTGTCATTAGTCAACAGGCAGAGCTCGCCCTGCAGGAGGCAATTAGGATTGCCCAGGAGTCCAACGATCACGTGTGTCTCCAGCACTGTTTGGTGAGGCCGTCCTCTGGTCTTGGGATTTTGCTCATGGGTCGAGGTGGCCTTCCAAAGGCCTCGTTTGAACCAAGTTGTTTTGCAGTTGGAGCAAAGTTCTTCAGTAATGAAGGGAAACTTCTTTGGTGGTGGGAGGTTCAGAAAGGGCAACCCGTGTTTTTACCTTTTCTGCTTTGGGGGCATTTCCTGTCTTCATATTTTAATGCAACTTACCACAATAAAAGTAAATATCGACTATCACATTTAATGTTGGCATTAACATTTAATGTTGGCATTAACAAAAAGATGTGTGTTACACCTAGTAACTGGGTGAGACATTTCTGTAAATATAATCATGAAATACAGCTAGAATAGCAGAAGTCATTTGAGGATCACCTGAGAATCTCATTTCTCAAAGGCCATTTGGGGGCTTTGTGCTTTTCTCTGAAACACCTGCCACTCAGCCACTATCAAAGGAAGCTGTGATTTGTTTATTTCAGCTTGATAGGTTTCATTTAGGATCATAATTTGTGAGAGTATTTTAGGGGGGTTATTTTTTCCCTTTTTAATTCTTGTGACCATATTGATATTTCACTAGAACATTAGCCATGTTATGATATAATTTGGTGATTGTCTCTTGCCAGAGCTGGCTTTATGTGCTGGGGCAGAAGAGATCCGATAGCTATGTTCTGCTGGAGCATTCTGTGAAGAAAGCAGTACATTTTGGGTTACCGGTAAGGCTCATCTTTCTGTGAGATTGTTTAAATAAGTGGTGTTGAGCCTTTGTCTCTTTTCCACCCACCTTTGTCATGAACCAGTGATAGGGTTAGGACGGGTATTATGACGTGTGGTAGTTTTTTCTGACTTTAACTATTAATCAAACTACTAAATTCTGTTTGGTAGGTTTCTCTCTGTTCCTTTTATTAACATCTGTGGAAGCTCTATTGCTTTGTTAAGAGATCTTTGTTTAGTTTATTGAGCAACATTTACTTAGCACCTGGACACTTAGGAAGATTTTTAGGAAAGGTGTTTTTTAGTGGTGCTGGGGATCAAACCCAGGGCCTCACAAGTGCTAGGCAAGCATTTATCAATATCCCCAGCCCAGGATGTTTTATTTTTAAACCAGGGGTTGGCAAACTTTACAGCCTGTGGGCCAGATATGGTGTTCTGCCTGCTTATGTATTGCCTTCAAGTTAAGAATGGGTTTTACATTTTTAAATGGTTGTGGAGTAAAAAACATAGCAAATTACGTAAGAGGAACCAAATATGGCCTGCAAAACTTAAATTATTTGCTCTCTAATCCTTTAGAACAAGTTTGCTGATCCTTGTTTTAAACCATATTCAAATCCAAGAACCAGTAATCCTGACAGGCAAATTTGACCTTTCTCATTTTGAGTGACGGGAAAGGACCTGAATTATAGTCCTCAGTGACCTATACTGAGGGCATTACTAGGTCATAGTCTGTTTCCAGGAGGTAGTAATGACTGAAAGTTGAGATTACTGTTGCTTGAAGAACCTCAGTCTGTCTCAGAAACATTTACCACACACTGGATCATAGGAAGTAGGACTGCTTAAGCTTCTGTCTTAGAATCTTCAGTAAAAATGAAAGTGGTTATGTGCAGTCATTTAGCGCACATGCTTCTTAAGTCTGTAAATCATCCGTGTGATTTACTTCTCAGAAAGGAAACTTAACACGGTAGAAATGAAGTGGCTCCTTGAGATAAATGATAGATTTCTTAAGTTCAATTTTTGCTATGGATTTAAGCTGGCTCTTTCTAGTTGAGCTTTCATCCTTGAAGATTATACTAGTAGATAATGAGAAGATAATTTGTTGCTCTTGATAGGCATCCTCTTTTGATCTCCTATAACCTAATGTGCCCGGCACTGTTTGACATATTATTTCATTGTAATCCTTACAACAATTCTTTATGATAGGTTTGATGCCCATTTTACAGATGAGGAAGCTGAGGCTTAGCTAAGAAGCTAAGTGACTGGCCCTAAGTCACACAGTAAGTAGCAGAGGCAGTGATTAAGTCCAGGTTCACCTAATGCCAAAGCCCTGGCTCTTTCCTGTGTATCCTCTGCTTCTCTTCCAGCCTTAGTTTTTCAGCAACACATCTCACATGGGTCAGGGTTAAGGTCAGGTTGTAGGTACTCTCCTTTTAAGTAGAGCTATCACTGTGCATGTGCTGAAATGTGAAATCCACCACATTTCTGAAGAGCAAAGCAAATTCTGTCATGTAATCTCTATCTTGGGTCGTGGGTATATCTGTCCCCTTAGTACCTCGCCTCCCTGGGAATACAGTCCCTTGTTCAACAGAGAGCTTTTGCTGGGAAGACTGCCAACAAACTGATGGATGCCCTAAAGGACTCTGACCTCCTGCACTGGAAACACAGCCTGTCGGAGCTCATCGATATCAGCATCGCCCAGAAAACGGCCATCTGGAGACTTTATGGCCGCAGGTAGGTCTTTAGGCACATTGCCAAGACCTTGGTGGTGTGAATCCTTCAGATTCACAGGAATCTAGGTTAGCAGGAGCTAGCACACTGGTTCTATGAAAGGCCAGACATACAAGGTTTTTTTTAACCACCTTTGGAAGTTGTTCATGCAGGGGATTAGATAAAATGCTTTAAAATCTGAAAACATTTTGTAGTTTGCACGACCTTTGCAAGGTTTTTTCCCCATGCACGTTATTTACTCCTGCCAACTGCTCTGTGAATAACTGATGGGTGATCTCCTTCTGGTTCACACATTTTCCCCAAGATCTCAAATGTAGTTGACCAGTGTCTCAAACGCAGATCTTCTGATCCCAAGCGTTTTGCTCCTTTGCTTTGCAACAAGAACCTCTCTTCTAGTTTGTAGGTTGCATGGCCTTCCTCCCGCAAGTTGAGCGTCCTTCATTCCTTGCACCTATTCTGTTACCCAAGGTGTTTTGTCTGGAATGTTTCTAGCCTCATGTTTTTCCTCTTCCACTTAGCCACCTTTAGCTTGGAAGTAAACTTCTTAACTAGATTGTAACCCTGGAGCCCTGTCACTATCTTGCCTTTTACCTAGACAATCTGCTATTTCTAGGAATTCAGTAATAAAAGGAAGTGCCTCTTTTACCAGTCTTGTTTTTGTATTTCAGATAATTTTTTGGCACGGCGTGCTCTGAAACAGCTGCCGACACTGGCCACTGCTTGCATTGCCAGAGCAGCCGGTGCCAGGATGGCATCGGGTCTGCATTTACCCGTGAAACCTAATTAGCATTCTGTGACCTCAGGGGAAATCGAGGGTGGGGAGGTAGGGGGCGGGGGATCTGGGAACTTGGAGCTCCCAGCTCTGCTGTAACCACTCCACATTTCCTGGGGGCCTTACATCTAGGATACTTTTCTGCTCTCCTTGACTTGAGGGCCGGAGAGTTGGTGTTGGGAGGTAGTTGCTTCTACATGGCCCGAGCCTGCAGAGGGGTTAATTTCCTTGTGTTTCCACTTAAGATAACTGTAGGTTATGGCCAAGGGGTAGTCTGGGCCTGCTGTCTGAAGGGAAATCCTGTTCCCTCTCCTCACCCAGCACTATGGCACTGCAGCAAGCCCAGATGTTGCTGAGCATGAACAGCCTGGAGTCAGTGAATTCTGGAGTGCAGCAGAACAACACAGAGTCCTTTGCTGTCGCACTCTGTCATCTTGCAGAGCTACACGCAGAGCAGGTAGGCAGGTTGTGTTAGCTTTTTGTCTCTGTGACAAAATACCTGAGATAATCAACTTAAAAGAAGGGAAGATTTATTTTGGTTCATGGCTTCAGAGGTTAGCCCATGGTCACTTGGCCCTATTTCTTGGGGCCTGTAGTAGTCCTGTACATCAAGGTGGAAACACAGCGGAGGAGTCTATATACCTTACCTCATGGAAGCTGAGAAGCCAAGAAACAGATGGGTGTGGGTCCAAATGTTGTATTCAGGGGTATGCCTCCAATGACCTAACTTCTTCCACTAGGCTCCATTTTCTAAAGGTTCTGCCACCTCCCGGCAGCACTACAGGCTGGGGACCAAGCCTCTTAACATGTAGGCCTTTGGGGGACATTTCATGTCCATATTGTAGCACAGGTGGTAAGGTCAGTATGCTTCTGGAGTACTGGAGGATCTGCCCCTTCTCTCCCTTAGTGCTTAAAAAAATCATTGCATGTGTCTTGAATGGGTCTCATTGGTGTTGTGAGTCAAGTGAAATCCCACTTATGGAAAAAGATTTAAAGGTGGAGTCTACAAGATGTGTTGGAAGTTGGGATCTTTTTTTGACATTAGTATAGGAAGTAAGAGGTTGGCTAGTTCCATTAAAAAATAGAACAAAAAGGAATCATTAAAATGTGAAGCACAGGCTTGTGTTTAAATGAGAGGGGAAGAGACTAATGAATGTATAGCTAAAATGATAATAGCTAATATTTGTTCACATTTGTTCTGTGCCAGGCCAGTGCTTTGTTATTTTATGTATTGTCTTACAGAACCTTCTAGTAGCTTCATGAGGTCAGCAATTTTTTTTTTAAGTTGTAGATGGACACCATTTATTTATTTATTTATTTATTTTTATGTAGTGCTGAGAGTCGAACCTGGTACATCATACATGCGAGGCTAGCACTCTATCACTGAGCTACAGCCCCAGCCCATGAAGTCAGCTTTATCATTACCCCTGTTTCACAGAACAAGAGATGGAGGTCCAGAGAGCTGGCTCAATGCCCGCTACCAGTATGTGTCAGTCCTGTCTCCAGTCAAGTCTGGTTGTCCCCAGAGAGGAGTGGTAGCAATTGAGCATAACCTTGACTTAGAGCCAGACTCATTTTACTTGATTCTCTTTAAAAGGGATGAATTATAGCATCTCTCATGCTGCTCTAGCAAATTTCCCTGTGGTGAAAATTTTTGGGGGGTGATTACAGAGAGATCGGGAAGCCTGTTTATCTGCATCTTAGTGTATGTTCCATCTCACTGAACATACTGTGTCTATAAGTACATTTCCTTGATCACATTATTTTTCTTGATAGTTTTGTGGTGTACATTATTGTTAGATTGTTTCATAATGCTCAGTATTCCTTCATCCCAGTGTGAAGATTGAAGGGTGGTTTCCACCCCTTTCAGAAGTCTGGAAACACTTCCCCTCTGCTGAACACATTTTAGCACTTTAGTCCTTTCAGTAGCTGGGCTCTGGCTCTTGGATGCCACTGTGCCCTTGGACTGCTTCCTTCCTGTTCCTGTGCCCACACATCTTGGGCAGTACCAGGTCAAAAGAGCAGACCAGCAGTGCTTGCTGTTCACTTTCCCCCAGGAATGTTTCATGTCCACATCTTGTTTTTTCCTTCTTAATGGCATTGGAACTTTCAGTACCACTGTTTTTCATTCTGTGTCCTGGGTAAGTGGAGCACTTGTTAATGAGGGAGTCAGTGAACACACAGATGTTTAGCATGAGCCTCCTGTGACTTTATCTACAGCTCTATTGAGATATAGTTCAGTGCCATTTAATTCGCCTTTAAAGTGTTGTTTCAAGACTGTCCTTTTCTGCCCTTCTCCTGCCTGCTTTAGAAACACTTTTCTAGTTTTAGAACATGAAGCATGTGAATATACTCCCTGGGTTGATGACTGTCACATTTTTAAATACACAGGTTAGACTTGCACCTGTGAAATTAAGCTTTGCCTATTGTGGAGAAGGCAGCTTTATGATGAGTCACTGTTTCATTTCCTTTGTCTGCTTTTTAAACTGAACTCCAAATAAACTAGATGCTGCACTGTGTTTTTGGTGTGGCAGTGCTTGGGTAGAACCTGTAAAGACATGAGGGACTCTGGGGGCTGGGATTGTGGCTCAATGGTAGAGCGCTTGCCTAGCACGTGTGAGGCCTTGGGTTCAATCCTCAGCACCACATAAAAATAAAGATATTATGTCCAACTACAACTAAAAAATAAATATTAAAAAAAAAAAAGTAGTTAGGGACTCTGAACTGCTCGTGGAGCTCCCTGCTGCAGCCCAGAGGGAGTGGAGTTAGTTCTTTTTCTAAGGTTGCCAGCCCCTTTTGTGTTCTCTGAGTAGTTCTGGGTCCTCTCTTAGCCTTGGGTGTAGCAGGGCACAATGGGAGTGTTTTGGGTGTACAATTCAAGGTGTCTCTGCTTGGCCTGAAGTTGACAGCTCACCTCTATCCATATGTTCAGCTTACTGTGACAGTCATGAAAATACGTGGTGAGGTTGGCCAATTAAGACCAGTGTGATAGCACATCTGTCATCCCACCACAGGCTAAAGCAGGATGGTCGCAAGTTCAAAGCCAGCCTGGGCAACTTAGTGAGACCCTGTGTCAAAATAACACTGGTTGGGGTTGTAGCTCAGTGGGAGAGCAGCCCTGGTTCAATCCCCGTTACTACCAAAACAAAAGATTGGCCAGTTAAAATCATAAGAACAAATATTAACGATCTTTATTGTAATTCAGTGTAATTTCCACTACAAAGTGTGCATTACCTAATAAGAGTTGGGGTTTGATAGTATATGAGTATAAAAATAATATGAATAGTATTCACAGAAAAAGCATAAATGGCCTAAATGACCAAAAATCAATTTCATCCTAGTTGTGGAAGAATTAAACAATGGAATAGTAGTTTTCAGTATCAGGCCAAGATGCAAAACTATTAGGGGGGGAAGAAGGGATAGGATGCTGCTACAAAAATACTGGTGTGGCTGTAGAGGGTAATTACTAACCTATATCAAAGAACTTAAAAATGCCCATCATTTCTACTTCTCTGGTTTAATTCTAAGGAAATAATTGGACATCATGCAAACTGGGCATCAAGATATTCATTGTAATATTTTTTAAATGGAAAAATTAAAAGCAACCAAAATATCCAAACCTAAAAGGTTATTTGGATGTACCACAATTAATTTGCCTAATAAAATATTATGGTGATACAGGTTTCATTTATGGACACTGGAAAGATTAATTTATTAAAGAATATTTATTGAGTGACTACCACGTTGGTAGTGTTATACATAATTGACAAAAATAACATGTATAGATAGGTATTTTTGGAATATTTATGTATTTAATATGTATATGAGTAAAAGAAGCTTAGAAGGAGGTATGTATGCCAAAACATGAACTGTGATTAGCTTTCATGGAATTAAAAGTAATTTGTCTTTTCTTACTATTTACACATTTTGTAATTTTTTTCCTAGAAAAAAACATATCTTACATGATAATTTTCTTAATGTTTTTGAAAATGAACGAAATTCATTAGAACCTTTAAAAGAACAGCCCTTAGAAATGCAGTTCCACAGTCTGCTTAGTGTCTTCTCGCTGGCTGTGTCAAGAGTAAGGGACTGTGTGGACCTGCCTGTGGTGTTCAGATGTGGTTTCAACACATCTGAATCAAAACCTGTCCTTTGATTTTTAGGGCTGTTTTGCCGCAGCTGCTGAAGTGTTAAAGCACTTGAAGGAACGATTCCCACCTAATACCCAACATGCCCAGGTAACCCACATGATCTTGGATTTACTTCTGAAAACAATGTTTTTCCACTGTAACAAAAAGCAGGATATTTTACAATGTTCCCTCAGAAAAATAATATTGAGCCAGGTGCAGTGGCATATGCCTGTAATCCCAGCAGCTCTGGAGTCTGAGACAGGAGGATCGTGTGTTCAATGCCAGCCTCAGTAAAAGTAAGGCATTAAAAAACTCGAGTGGGACTCTGTCTCTAAATAAAATACAAAATAGGGCTGGGGATATGGCTCTGTGGTTGAGTGCCCCTGAGTTCAATCCCCAGTACCTAAAAGGAAAAAAAAAAAAAAAGAAAGAAAAATAATATTGAGTTAAAAATGAAATTGTTAAAGGACACATACAGGATGATATTATTTATTTTTAGTACAAAGCTCAAAAAAATACAGGCTCCCCAGGTGTGGTGGCACACACCTCTAATCCCAGCACTGAGGCAGGAGGATTGAAAGTTCTAGGCCAACCTGAACAATTTAGTGAGGCCCTGTTTCAAAATAAAAAATAAAAAGGGAAGGGGATATGGCTCAGTATGTAAGGCCCTGAGTTGTATCTCTGGTACCACAAAATAAAGAAACAAAAACATACAGGCTTATACTATAAGCATTTAAGGGTAAGTATATGTGTTATAAAAGAATAGGAATGGGAATAGCAGACACCGAACTGAGTGCTTGCTACTTGAAAAAGTGAGAGGAAAATGGAATTTGCAAAGAACTCCAATAGTATGTCACAGTGTTGGAGTAAATATGTGAGCTAATAAAAGCGATATGTGAGTTGATAAAGTTAATTGGTGGCACATTATTTTATATTTGTTAAATATTTGTTATTTTGTTCTTCATGCTTTTATGCAAGCTTGAAATATTATAAAACTTTAATCTCAAAAAAGGGAATATGTGTGAATTATAGTAAGGATATTTGCTAAGTAAATACTTATAAAATACTTTTGTGTCCTCATTGGCTAATAATGTTAACATTTGTCATTTGATGCTTAATTTTTTTTTCCTTATTAGTTATGGATGCTATGTGATCAAAAAATACAATTTGACAGAGCAATGAATGATGGCAAATATCATTTGGCTGATTCACTTGTCACAGGAATCACAGCTCTTAATGGCATAGAAGGTGTATATAGGTAAGAAAGTTGGAAAGAAAGTCGGAAAACTTTAATCCTAGAATAAAATAATTTTTAAATGGCTTAATTTTAGTGCAGTTTTATTTGTTTTCTGTGTGTATTGATTTATTTACTTTAGTTAAAGAAAATACTTTTTTACAGAAATTTAAAAATTGATAAACAAAATGAAAGTAAGTATGTCCCAGAGATAGTCACTAGTATTGCGATAACTGTAATTCTAAACTTTTTTCTGGCATATATGTTTGTGCATATACATGTATATGCTTGCACATATACATTTATACACACATACAGGGTTTTTTGTTTGTATTTTTTCTTTGAGCAAAAAATTAAAATAGGCAGTTTTCCCCTTGGGAGGTTACACTCTGAGGAAATACAGAGTCTCACCCCTGAAGTGGTTATAGTTAAAACACTTGCAAGCATCAGTAGAACTACTTGTGTTTATTTTGAATCTGTTTCAGAAAAGCAGTTGTACTACAAGCTCAGAACCAAATGTCGGAGGCACACAAGCTTTTACAAAAATTGTTGACATACTGTCAGAAATTAAAGAACACAGAAATGGTGATCAGGTAAGGGGTCTCTTGTGCCTTTCATGGAGATGGTGTGGTGGATCTTCTCATCCCATGTTTTCCTCTTTGCTGTAGTGTCCTGCTTTCGGTGGCAGAGCTGTACTGGCGATCTTCCTCCCCTACCATTGCGATGCCTGTGCTGCTGCAGGCTCTGGCCCTTTCCAAGGAGTATCGGTTACAGTACTTGGCCTCCGAAACCGTGCTGAATTTGGCTTTTGCCCAGGTAAGCTGATCTCTGTTTTTATAGCACATTTGTGCTTTAACAACTGGTGAGTCTGTTACTACTTTTTGGTATTGAAAAGAGTAATATTGAGGGCTAATAATTTTCAGGGCTGAGGTGTAGCTCAGTGGTGGAGTCTGGAAAGGGAGCCTCCATGTGCAAGCCCTCCAAGGACACCTGTAGAATTGTGAACCCGTTGACAAGGTGACACTTTCCAGCAGCACTGACTTTCCTGATATGTGCGTTTAGTAAAGGGGACTCACCTCTTCAGTGAGGACACTTCCATCATTGTAATTAGTAGCTGGCACAGAGTGATACTTGGTTTAGCAACAAAGGAATGTGAATATAGAGAAGAGGTCCAGTGTAGTGGCCCATACCTCTGATCCCAGCTATTTGGAGGTTGAGGCAAGAGGATCACTAGATCAAGGCCAGTCTGGGCAACTTAGCAAGACTTTTTCTCAAAATAAAAAATAAAAAGGGGGGCTGGGGATACACTCAGTTGGTAGAGTGTTTGCCTCGCATTCACAAAGCCCTGGGCTCAATCCCCAGCACCGCCAAAAATCTAAGTTGTGCTAGAGTTATGGTTCAGTGGTAAAGCGCTTGCCTAGCATGTGTGAGGCACTGGGTTCAAACCTCAGCACCACATAAAAATAAATAAACAAAATAAAGGGGGCTGGGGATGTGGCTCAAGCGGTAGTGCGCTCGCCTGGAATGCGTGTGGCCCAGGTTCGATCCTCAGCACCACATACCAACAAAGATGTTGTGTCTGTCGAGAACTAACTAACTAAATAAATAAATATTTAAAAAAACAAAACAAAACAAAATAAAGGCATTGTGTCCATGTGCAACAACAACAACAAAAAAAAATTGTCTCTGTTAAATGTAGACTAAGATTGTATGTAATAAATACACAAATATTAATATTTCTTCAAATTTAAATAAATAAAACCCCTCCCATTTCAATAAGTTCATTAGGCAAAAAAAAAAAAAGAGAAAATGAGTTATGTTGAGAAAGTTTCTTTTTATGTGTGTGTTAGAGCCTCTGAGATGCTAACTAAGCAAATACTCTACACTGAGCTACACCTCAGCCCTGAAAAGTTTTCTATTTTTTTTTTTTTTTTAATTATTATTTATTTTTTAGTTCTCGGCAGACACAACAACTTTGTTTGTATGTGGTGCTGAGGATCGAACCCGGGCCGCATGCATGCCAGGCGAGCGTGCCACCGCTTGAGCCACATCCCCAGCCCCCTGAAAAGTTTTCAAAATCAGATTATATTTTATGTCTTTTTCTTTTTTTTTTTTCTCCCCTGGTGAAGGCCATGATAGACTCTCTATTCATGGCTGTATCCCTTGATACCTAGCAGGACCTATACCTAGTAAAACCCACTTGAGGCTAGGCATGGTGGCATACATCTGTAATCCTAAGCCACTCAGGAGAGTGAGGCAGGAAGATTGCAAGTTCAAGGCCAGCCCCAGGAACCTAAGTAAGACCCTGTCTCAAAAAAGGGGGGCGGAAGGGCTGGGATTGTGGCTCAGTGGTAGAGCACTTGCCTTGCAAGTATGAGACACTGCGTTTGATCCTCAGCACCACGTGAAAATAAAGATATTGTGTCCATCTATAACTTTTATATATTTATTTATATATATATATATAAATTCTTTTTTTTTTTTTTTTTTTTTTTGAGAAAAAGGGCTGGAGATGTTGCTCAGTGGTAAATCACCCCTAAGTTAAATTCCTGGTGCAGAAGGAAGAAAGTGAACGGGGGAGGGGAATCACTTGAGGAATTGGCTAAAGCAGAGGTTCATAGAATTCCTGGGGAGATTTTAAAAATATCCACATACCTGGGCTTGTCTTGGATCTCCTGAGTCAGAATCTCTAGGGATAGAGTCTAGCAATCTGTTCATTATAAGCCTGCTTCATCAGTGATTCTTATTTCTTAGTTAAGATAAATTTACCATTTTAACCATTAAAAGTATGCAATTCAGGGGCTGGGGATGTGGCTCAAGTGGTAGCGCTCGTTTGGCATGCGCGAGGCACTGGGTTCGATTCTCAGCACCACATAAAAATAAAGATATTGTGTCCAACTAAAACTAAAAAAATATTAAATAAAAATGTACAATTCAGTGATTTTGAGAATATTGACAGTGTTGTACAACCATTATAACTGTCTAATTCCAGAGTTATTTTCATGATACAAAAAGGAAACTGTATATTAAAAACATTCACTCCTGAATCCTCCCTCCTTCCCTCCAGCCTGCTTTCTGTTTCTGTGTATTTGGCTATTGGAGACATTTCATTATGTGGTCTTTCTGTGTCTTGCTTCTTTGACTTAGCAGACTGTTCTGAGGCTTCATCCTTCTTAATGTCTGAATCATATTCCATGATATGCAGAGGCTGCATTTTGTTTGTGCCTGCATCAGATCATGGACATTTGGATTGTTTTCAATTTTTGGATGTTCTGAATAACTGCTCTTCATGTTCAAGGGGAAGTTTTTGTTTGAATACCTGTTTTCTGTTCTCTTGGGTAGATGGAATTGCTGGGTCACATCATTTAGTTAGATTTTTTGAGAAACTGCCAAAATATTTTTGGCACAAATGGTGCTAAATGGTACATAATGACTGCATCCCATCATTTTATATTCCAGCCTGCAAGGTCAGAATGTAATCTCCACAGTCTTGCCAGTGCTTGTCATTTTCTGTTTTTTTATTGCTGTCGTCTTCCTAGTGGACTGGTATATCATTGTGCTTCTGTTCACTTCCCTTCTGACCAGTAATGTTGAGCATCTTTTCATGAGCTTATTGACCATCTGTATATATTCTTTTTTTAAAAAAATATTTTTTTAAATGGACATATTACCATTATTTTATTTATTTTTTTATGTGGTGCTGAGGATTGAACCCAGTGCCTCACATGTGCTCAAGCGCTCTACCACTGAGCTACAACCCCAGCCCTCAACACTACACACAAATAAATGAATAAAATAAAGATCCATCAAAAACTAAAAATGTATATTAAAAATTTTTTTTAATCCTATATGAATATTTATGCAAAAATTCTCAAGAAAAAACTAGCAAACCAAACCCATCAGCACTGGATTTGGCATTAAAGTAATAATGGCCTCACAAAATGGGTTAGGAAATGTGTCTTCCTCTTCTGTTTTTGGGAAGAATTTGAGAAGAATTGATGTTAACTCTTTTTTATTATTATTATTTTTTATTTTTTTAGTTGTAGTTGGACACAATATCTTTATTTTTTATTTATTTATCTTTATGTTGTGCTGAGGATGGAGCCCAGGGCCTCGCACATGCTAGGCGAGCGGTTTGCTGCTGAGTCACAACCCCAGCCCTGGTGTTAAATCTTTAAAAGTTTGGCAGAGTTGGCTCCTGCCTTTTCCTTGTCACTGCTTCTTTTTGGTTATTGATTCGATTTCTTCCTTCCCTTTCTTGCCTCTTTGATTACTGCTGTACCACCACTTCCTCTTCCTTGTTTTCCACCTCTTCCAATTTCTTTACTTTCTGTAGGTCTGTTCAGATATCTTTTTTGTTGTTGTTGTTAGAGTGGAAGTAAAAGAGTGGAAGTAGAAGTAAAAGACTTCCCCCGAGAGGAAGAAAGGGACCCAAAAGGTGGAAACCCCTCCCTTTTTTTAAAAGCTCCATTGTAAATCTTTTATTTGTTTGTTTGTTTTTTATGTGGTGCTAAGGATCAATTCCAGTGCCTTCTTTTTCTTGGTCAATCTGACTCAGTTTGTTGATTTTGCTAATCTCTTTGAAGGACGAACTTTTATTGATTCTCACTTGCTTTTTAATTCTCTATTTTGTCTCCACTAACATCATTATTTCCTTGCCTCTATTAGCTGTGAGTTTAATTTGCTCTACTCCTGCTAGTTTCTTAAAGTGGAAGATTAGCTTGTTGATTTGAGATCTTTCTTGATCTTTGTTTTGCAATGTGTGCCTTTACAGTTAAAAATTTCCCTGAGAACTGCATCCCATGAATTTTTACCTCATAAATTTCAAAAGTTGTTTGTTAAGTTGTGTATTTATATGTCTCAGAGCATTTTCTAATTTGTCTTGTGATTTTTCCTTTGGTTATTTAAGGGTATGTTTAATTTCCAGGTATTTTTTAATTTCCTCCTGTTGTTAATTTCTAATTTCATTTCATGTAGTCGTTTCATCATTCCATTCTTTTTTTAAGTTTGCTGAGTTGTTTTTCTGTGGTGTGAGTGAAGCCCTAGGTTTAGTCCTAGCACCACACACAAAAAAAGGTTGGGGGCTTGGGTTTTGGCTCAGTGGTAGAGGGCTTGTCTAGCATGTGCGAGGCACTGGGTTCGATTCTCAGCACTGCATATAAATAAGTAAATAAAATAAAGGTCCATGAACAACTAATAAAAATATTTAAAGAAAGGAGGGGAATGTTGGGGTGCCAGCCACAGTGGCGCACACCTGTAATCCCAACAGCTCTGGAGGCTAAGACAGTAGGATCGCAAATTCAAAGCCAGTCTCAGCAATGGTGAGGCCCTAAGCGACTCTGTGAGACCCTGTCTCTAAATAAAATACAAAATAGGGCTGTGGATGTGGCTCAGTGGTTGAGTGCCCCTGAGTTCAATCCCTGGTATCAAAAAGTGTGTGTGTGTGGAGGGGATTTACTGTTATTTTGTAGCCTAACATATGGTCTCTCCTGGAAAATATTACATATGTACTTGAGAATTTGTATTCTGATATCATTGATGATGTGCTTGATAGATGTCTGTTTAGGTCGTCTGGTTCCTTACTGATCTTCTATCTACTATTTTATTGAAAAGTGAGATATTGCACACTCTGAGCTTTTTTTTTTTTTTTTTTAAGAGACAGGGTCTCACTGATTTGCTTTGTGCCTCGCTGTTGCTAAGGCTGGTTTTGAACTCATGAGCCTCCTGAGCAGATGGGATTATAGGTGTGCGCCACCATACCCAGCTCTCTTTAGCTTTTATTGTTGAATTGTCTATTTCTACCTCCGGTTCTGCCT